CAACTCCGGACGTACTGGCTGACATGGCGGGACCACCAGTAATTTTGGGCTACGAGCTTGAGGGTTTTGAAGCCTCCAGTGTGTCCGGCAACCCGAGTGTCATGGTGTAGGGTGATGATCCGACACCGGAGATCCTTATTCCGCGGCACGACAATCTTGCCGCGGTAGTAAAGGAGCCTGTCAGCGATGCGCCACTCGGACGACCAGAGGGAGCGAACATTCCGGTCCTTGAGGAGTTCCCGTGCGACAAGCGCAACAGAGTCCTCAAGCTCTGGCTCACCCACAAAGGTCTCCAGGACGTCACGAAGGAGGGGGACCTCAGGTCCAGTAATCACAGCGCCTTCCAGCACACGGATGTGGAACAAGTCTGGGCGGAGGAGGGTGACATCCGTGTTGTCCAAGCCTACCCCGTGATTGGGGCGGCAAGACAGCGCGTCTGGATGACCCATGAGGGGGCCGGGCTGGTGGTGGAGCACAAAGTCGAACGGGGACAGGTACAGGGACTGCTGTGCTTGGCTCCGGTTCAAGTTCTGTGCCTTCCGGAAGTACTCCAAGTTTTTGTGATTCGTCCAGATCTCGACTGGATGCTGCGTACCTTCGAGGAAGTGTCGCCACTCCTCTAGGGCCCGGATGATTGCGAGCATCTCCTTGTCGTGGATCTCATAATTGCGCTGGATGTCACTCAAACTCTTGCAGTAGAACACGACCAGATGCCATTTTACGTCTGCGTCCAGCTGGGACAGGACGGCCCCAGTAGCGTAGTCGGAGCTGTCTGCCTCGACTCGCTATGGAAGTGACTCATCTGGAAGGACCAGGACGGGCTCCGCAGTTACCGCATCCTTGAGGGCTTCGAACGCGGCAGCGGTCCAGGTCCACGCTATACTCTTGTTCATGAGGTCGAAGAGGGGCCGGGCGATGTCTGAGAACGCCCGGATGAACCTGCGGTAAAGTTCTTGAAGCCAAGGAACTGCTGCACGTCCTTCTTGTTCTCCAGGTTGGGCCAGGCGGCGACTCTGGCAACCTTGACCGGGTCCATCTCAATGTAGTTGTGCGAGATGATGATGCCGAGGTACTTGATAGACAACCTCTCGAACTCGCACTTCTCCAGGTGAAGGTAGAGCTTGTGCGCCCGCAGCCATTGGAGAACCTCTCGGACGATCTCCCAGTGGCGCTCGAGGTCAGAGTAAGCAATGAGGATGTCATTGAGATACACCATGACGTCTCCAGACAGGATGAGGTCCTGGAAGATGTTGTTCATCATTGTCTGGAACATGGCCAGAGAGTTGGTGAGGCCGAAGTACATCACCAGTGGCTCGAAGAGCCCCCCGTTGGTACGGAACGCGGCCTTCCACTCGTTGCCTCCCCTGATACGGAAGTTGTTGAAGCCCCACCGAACATCGAGTTTCGTGAAGAACCAAGCTCCCTTCAGATGGTTAATGAGGTTGTTAATCAGCCGGAGCGGGTACCGGTTCTTCACGGTCATTGCATTGAGCGCCTGATAGTCCTGACGAACTGGAGACTTCCCTCCTTCTTCTTGATGAAGAAGACCAGAGACGCCATCAGAGACTTGGACGAACAGATTCGGCCGGTGTTCAACCTGTCTTCAATGAAGGTTTGGAGCTCCTTCTGTTCGAGGGGGAGATCGGGTAGACCTTGCAGCTGGCCAGCTTCGCGTCCGGAACAAGTTCAATGGTGTGGTCCCATGTCCGGTGTTCCGGTAGCACATTGAACAACTCCTTGTCGAAAATGTCTGAGAAATCCTTGACCCAGGCTGGAACCGAAGTCCCGGGTAGGGCCGAGTTCTGAGCGAAGGCCTCCGCGAGCTGCTGGGAAATGGTGCTCCCAGCGCGGATTTCTTCAGTCGGAGCGAACACGGTGTAGAGGATCCATTCACTGTCCTCCAGCTCGTCATCTTTGTTGTCGTCCCAATCTGGAGTGAGGTCTGGAAAGTCGTCTCCATCATCGTCCAAGTCGTACCTGTTGTCTCCGGGTCACTCTTCCGAGTCAATGGCACAGATGGATGGGACAGGACCTTTGCGGAGCTGCTGGAGGATCGCGGCGGAGATCTTCGCGTTTAGACAGATGGTGTGGAGCTCGTCTCGGCAGGTGTTGCAACTGGTCAGGCAGCGGGTCATCCGGACTTCCTTGGTCTCCCAGTCGATCTCTGGGTTGTGCTTTCGGAGCCAGGAGTAACCGAGAATGACGTGCTGCTTCCCGAGCCGCATCACGGCGAGTTGGATGCGTTCAGAGTGCCCCTCGTAGTTGATGACCATATTGACTATGCTGGAAATGCCGCCAGACATATTAGGTGTACTGTCGACGTTGAGGACCGGAATGGGCTGAGAGAGCTTCCGGACCGGAAGGTTGCGAGAGATCATGTACTCCGAATTGATGAAGTCTCCGCTCCGCAGTCGACCAGACCCTTCACGGACATCGTGGCAGCAGTCTCTACCGACTGCATCTCCAACGGAATGTGTAGGGAGTTCCGGCCCTTGACGGAATCGATAACGTACCGCCAGGTTAGTTTGCGCTCCCACCTTGGGCAGCGAACACAGGGAATTGAAGGAAGGGGTTCTGTCTCCTCTTCCGGAGCGGTAACAGGGGGTCCTGGCTCGGGGACAGAAGCCGGAATGGGGGGTGTGTCTTTAGTTTCAACTGCTGATTTATTGGGTATGTCTTTGTACAAGCAGGAGTAACGATTAGGAGACACGACCAAGGGCACACTGCTCGGCCGTGTCCGGAAAGCTCGCTGGCTCCGCATCATCGGTTTCCGGCTCACCTAGGAGCCCAGCGGTGGTGGAGAGGCAAGCGAAGAGCTCTCTGAAGAGGTCGTCACCGAGTTGATGGACGACCTCATCCAGGATGTCCGCATGCCGCACATCCGAGGGAGTTGGACAGTCTCGAGCAAGGTTTCCGGCTGTGCTGCAACGGAAGCAAGCGCGGGACGTGAAGCGCACTCGGGTCTGGCCAACATCCATCGGGACGCCAGGCAGAAGAGCAGGCATCGGCGCGGCTTTAGGAGCGGGCATGAAGGAGGGAACTGGGAGGAACATCCCAGTGCGGGGCATGCAGCCGGAGCTGGGGTGCAAGCTGGCGGTGCTCCCACTCGGACGCGGGTGAGGGTGTCGTACTGGCAGAATGTGCGGAGACGCTACCTGGCGTAGTCCAATAGTGCCGGGGCGGTCCCAGATGTCGTGATCGCTGTGTTAATCCATGGGTCGAGCCCTGTGCAGTACTTGGTGATGCGGGCGAGCGAGTCCGTATATCCGGCTGAGGCAACGAGTTCCTCAAAGTCGTCCGTGTACTGGTAGACATCGTGGGACCCCTGGTAGTAGCCGTGGGTCTCTAGTTGGAGGAGGGCCTGGTCTTGCTCATTCTCCTCTATGAACCGGAGCCGGAACTCGGACTCGAATTTTGCCCAGGACGGGAAAGGGAACGGGATGATCGCGGACTGTCGTTCAGTCCATCGGTCCAGCCGCATCTCGCACCATACAGGACATAGTGTACCGCACGAGTTTTTCCTCTACGACCTGTCCGTGGACCATGAAGGCTTCCAGAACGAGTCGGAGGTACGTAAGGACAGAGTGAAGGAACATCCGTCCTTGCATCCGGTCACTGTCGAAGACGGCTGGGGGCTTCGGTCGGAGGACCAATTTTACTGCAGGGGTGAGGGTGGTGAAGTCTGGACCCACTGCCGGAGCTGGAGCAGCAGGGACAGGGGCAGCTGCGGGCGGATTTTGGCTGTTGTGTAAGACGCAGAGGAGTAGGACCTCGATGTTTGCGAGAGAGTCTTTGACTGCTGTCAGCCGGGTTTCAGGGTCAGAAGCCGAGTCCAGGATGTGAACATCCGGGAGCTCGGGTTGCGGGGCCTTGTTTCCGGACGTCAGGGCATCCATTGGAGTCGGGGAGGAGGGGTCGAGATTGGAAGTGGGGGAGGCCGGAGCGCTAGGGTAGCGGTCCGAATTTGAGTCTACACCAAACTTCCCAATCTTGACCAGTTGATCCCTTAGATCCCTTCTTCTGCTGTAAGGGCAACCTCAGCTCGGTGCAGAGGCATAGGAACTAGCAGGAGAATCCGAAGAGAACTCAATTCACAGTACTAAATACAGAGTCTAGGAATACGCACCTAGCAGGAGAATCCGAAGAGAAGAAAGGATGAGGATTCCCATGCTAGGCGAGTTCAATATAACAAATAGGTACTAGCCAGTAGCACGTGCCCGAAGTGATCGGCAGTGGTCCCGGACCTGATCGAATAGTGTATTCCAGTGCGAGTGGCCGGACGAAGGGAGGCAAGGGGGAACCGAGTCTGGAGGGACAGGGGGCGACGTTCCGGGTGGAGGCGCAGCCTGGGGTGTAGGCGGGGGCTTCGGACACAAGGCCGGACAGATGGGTGAGACCGGACGAGAGGCCGGACGAGGAGGGGGCTCCAGATGAAGGATCGGACGAGGAAGCAAGGCAGTACGATGGGCCGGAGCTGGACGGACAGACAGACGAGGGGCTGGACAGGGGGTTCCCCTGACAGGATGAGACCAGGGTTTGACTCCCCCGGGCACATGAGCAAGCAAAGAGCGGGTTGTTCTTCTAGTCTTTTGTGCATTCCCGACTTTTGTGAGTTTGCATTTGGTTATCTCCAGCGCAATTCAATTCCCACGCCCATTTCAATATATTGCATTCACCAAGCAGGATTGATATTCTTACTTGGGATCATCCTTGGTGCTGTGATAACACACATCCTGTTTCGGGATGAGCAACTCCCTGGGGGCGCATAAGTCTAAGATGCTGGACCTTTTGTTTCCGTCTTTGGTTTTTCTCTTTTTTTGGCAATATTAATGTTGTTCTGTTCTTTCTATTCTATTCTGTTCTTTTTTGTGTCTGCATCTGCATTGGTGTTTGCGTTTTGGTTTAGGTTAAATATCCCCACGCCAACCCGTCCACGCCAAATCCAGCAAGATAAGTACCTACCTGGGATGTGGGTACTAGGGTAGCCAGCAGGGTACAAAGTGTCCTTGGTGTAGTGTTAGCACACATCCTGTTTGTAAATGTGGACTCCCTCTTAGGATGAGACCGGGGTTCAACTCCCCGAGGGTGCATACCCATCCCTTGCCCTTTTTTTCGTTTCGTTTTCATGTTTATTCTTCCTATTATTATAATAGTGATCTTGTTCTATCCGATTCTGTTGACAATACGGTAAGTCCTCAGCCGTACCCAGGATGTGGTAAGGAACTCTGTTATGTACCTGTTGACAATACGGTAAGTCTGTACAGTAATAGATGAATAAGTAAATAAGTATGATGATAATATAAGTGGGAAAACGTACCCTCAGCCGTACCCAGGATGTGGTAAGGAACTGAGGGCCGTTGTCACGTATCCGCACCTTAAATATGGTGCGGATACGATCGGTGTCGAGACACTAAATAATGTAAAAGAAATGTAAAGAGAGACCGATCAGTAACCAAATGTAGACGCGAGACGCCATCTTCCGAAAGAGGCAGCCCCGCGCCTCAACAGATTCTATTCTTTTTGGCATCTGCGTTTGTGTTCTGGTTTGGGTTGAAGGCTGTATGTTAGTTTCTTGGAGATGGGTCCGGGGTTCAACTTCCTGAGGGTGCATGGGTTTTCTATATCTCTGTTTTTGGTTTGATTGTTTCATGGGTTCACTGTTCTTTTGTGTGTTTGCATTTGCATTTGGTTATCCCCAGCGCCGACAGTCCAATCCAATCCAATACATCCAATTCTGATTCCAATTCCATGCATCCAATGCATCCCAGTCCTTTCACCACCAATATTTTATTTGTTTGTCTTGCATTCACCTCTCCGCCCAGCACTAGTAGAATAGGACATGATTTACTCTAGTATGTAGGTATGTAGGATGTAGGATGTATGTATCATGCAGCCAGGTATCAAGCTTAACGCCGTAAAGCGTCCTTGGTGTAAGGGAAACATGCATCTTCAAAGTTCCAACGTTCGTTTAAAATACGCAAGATGAGAGCGGGGTTCGACTCCCCGAGGGCACATAAGTCTGAGAGGGTGGATATTTTGTGCTTCTATTTTATTGTTTTTTGCCTCTGCGTGTGGTTACACATCTTCTGGCGCCGGCCAAGCCAATTCCAATCACACTGAATCGCAATTTGATTCCCGATACGTATATATCCAATTCCGAGTCTGAGTCGGAGTCTTTCCACCACCAATATTAATGCCAATGCTCATATGTAATTGCGATGCCATGGCATTCACTAAGCAGAATTACCTAGGATGTAAATACCATGCGAGGTAAGTACCAAGTTTCAGAGCGCAAAGCACCCTGGGTGTAGCGTAAACACACATCTCCCTCTTTATAAAATTAGCGTGAGGTAAAACTTCAAGATGAGTCCGGTGTTCGACTCCCCAAGGGCGCATGTCGCTGACGGTTAGATGTTTTTGGTTTTGGTTTTATTCTTTTGAGCATTATCCCCCAGTGCTGGCCAAGCTAATTCCATACATCCAATCCAATACTCGTCATCACAAAAAGCTTAAGTGACTGGCCACTGCGTTCCTCTCAAATGATGGGGTTGCTGTGGGAAAATGTGTATTCCAAAGCTTCCCTACGGTATCCCCTGATACTACATGACAGAAAGAACCGGCCATTCTTGTTGATTTTTGTGAAAATTAGAGATGTATCAGTTTGTTCCATCAAAGTTGTAATTTCCCTCTGCATCAATTTCTTTCTGCAGACTCGTAGGATGTTCTGTGTGTCTTGAGATTCTATGTATATGTTCTAGCACGTGTAACACTATTTAAGCGGTCAAAAGATTTTGAGCAATGTGGTCTGAACTGTTGTCAATAACCAAATACTGGTATTCTACTGGATTCTATGTATATGTTCTAGCACGTGTAACACTATTTAAGCGGTCAAAAGATTTTGAGCAATGTGTTCTGAACTGTTGTCAATAACCAAATACTGGTCTTTTCTTGATGTATTATTGAGCTAAGTGTGGGACCTGCTAACTTGTATCACCACAGTCTAAGCCAAAAAACAGTAGATTCATGACATTTGATTGTTGTTGCCGTGCAAACAAATGGCCAGTTACTTTTTACGATAATGAGTACCAATTCCGAGTCCGAGTCTGAGTCTGAGATGCAGACCTTTTGTTTTCGTCTTCGTTTTTATTCTCTTTTTTATTAATATTGATCTCGTTCTGTTCTTTCTATTCTATTCTTTTTTGCATCTGCGTCTGCGTTGGCGTTTGCATTTTGGTTGGGGTTAAATATCCCCATACCGCCCCGTCCAGGCTAAATCCAGCAGGATAAGTACGCACCTGGGATGTGGGTAGTAGGGTAGCTAGCAGGGTACAAGCGTCCTTCGTGTAGTGATAGCACCTATACTGTTTGTAAATGTAGACTCCCTCTTAGGATGAGACCCGAGTTCGACTCCCCGAGGGTGCATGGGCCGTCTTGATGTCTATTTTTGGCTTTGGTTTTATTCTTGTTTCGCATTTGCGTTTGCATTTGCATTCACAATTCTTTTGTGCATCTACAGTTAGTTCTCTCTGGCGATGTCCACTCCAATTCAAATTCCCGTGCGCATTCCATTATGTACATCCAATATATATTCTAGTCCTGTTGCATTCACCAAGCGGGATTGATATTCTTACCTGGGATGTAAGTATCATGTAGGTAGGTACCAAGCATCGTTGGTGTAGTTATAGCAGAGCACATCCCGTTTGGGTGAAGTTGAGGATGAGTCAGGGGATCAAATCCCCAGGGACGCATGAGTCGGAGTCCGATGTTTTTTTTCCAGTTTTTCTTTTTCACCACCAATATTTGCCCATATTGAATAGTGATGCCACATTCACCAACCAAGCAAGGTAACGAACTACTTAGGCAGATAATGGATGCGGTTACTGTACTATTTCATTCAATTCAGCAGGGGTTGTGAGCTGTGACTGAAAAAAGTGTTTCGGCACTTCAGCAACCAACAAAATTTGGTGTGACACCTCCAAAATTTTGGCATTCATGATGAAACTTTCCAGAAATTTTGCCTTTTTTTAACCTCCAAGAAAGATTTGGCCCGGATGTCATGGATTTTACATTCGGCACAGGGGGTGCGTGGCGCTTGACCACCGAATTGAATGAAATTATTCAGTATCTTAAGTTTTGGCTGCTCTTTATTGACATTAGAACTGAAGTTCCCGGTGTGGAAGGGTCGCTTGGCTCCCTCGTCGCCTCTCCCCATCACATGGTTTATGCTCGTCAAGCAGAAATCCTCAACCGATCATTAATTATTTTATCTCACTCCTTGTATCTTTTCAACAGTCTACTCTTGTACTCACCATTTTCCTCCCTTTATGCTCCCAGATTTATTACACAGCTGCACGATTGCCTCTGAGCTCATTCCACTGCCAAGCCGATACTTTTGCGACTTCAAGATCAATTACTCAACCATGCAGGAAATATCTGTTATTGAGCTATTGGACTTCTCTCTATATTATTTACTCATATCTCGCTCACACTGCAGACATTTTGTTTATTCTTACTACATACTGCTGAAAGACAGTCACTCCTAGTGCGGATGGATCATGTTAGAGAAAGGTTCACAAAGGAAACTTCTAAAACCAAACCCTAACCAAAATCAATCAACAACACCTTCCATAATAGGAATCATGGTTTAAGTTCGGGGGGGGTGTAGACCAAGTATTAGGTCAAATAGCCAAGTGCATGCAGGTTCTAGGCCATACATGTATGTGACAAGACTGAAATCAACACCAGCAACTTGCCGCTCTACCAGAACTCCAGAAATCCTGTCACCACTCCGCATCACCACTACATATCAGCTTCATCACCAGAATCCTCCTCCTCCTCACTTTCACCCCCACTACTTGTGTATTTCTGTAGAACACTCTCCCAGCATCGGATTACTTCTTGGTCAAATACCTGAGATGGTCCATGAAGGTATGCCTCCATCTCCAAATTCTCCTTCCACCTCTCCTCAAGCTCATCATCTCCATAATTCTTCCCTGTTTGAAACATACTTTCCGTGAGATAGCCTTGCCAGCGGTCAATCAAGTCCAGTTGAGGGTTGGGGGATCTCTAAAAAGCTGTCAGAAACAGCCCATGACCCATTGTGACTCACCTTAAGCCATTGAATAACATCATAGAACTCAACAGGTTCGAGTCTATTCTCCTCTTTTGCAAACACATCCCAGGGTGGAATGAATTGATGAAGTTCCTGGAGCAGCTCGGGATTTGATTGTGGAGAAGATCGAATGTGTCGATCCCATTCTCGGAAATGCCATTCAGCCGGGCGTAAATGCCACCTGCGAATAGTTGGTAGCTGTTCAACTCAGAACTAGATAATCTGCTTACCAGAACATCATAGGAAGTTTCCCATTTCCAATCCGTTGGATAAGTTGAATGAGTCCGCGAGCCAGGTCTCTGGACACCAAGTCCTTGGGGCTGAGTATGTCCAGAGAGAACAAGAATAAGAAATAATCGGATGCCTTGGTCATGAGCGGACGAAGGGAACAAATGCACTCTCGAACATCATCCCAGGATAGATCCAATGCAATACGAATTTGAAGCAATGTTATGGAATGGTCGACAGCAAGAAGTCTTTCAGCTTGGAGGATGCGAACCAGGGTGGGAGACTGTGACAAAAGCTGCCGAAAGGCATCGATTGTGGCTTGTAATTTGCTGCTCATTTGGGGACGTACAGCACGTATTGTGCGGACGGATAAGGCCTCAATTTGCCCGTAGGTTCTTTCTGGAGCCCACTTAGCATGTGCATCGAGTAAACTGCAGGTGACCTGGTCTTGGAAGTGCTTATACAACTGCATAAAGCGATAATCTTCCCAGCGGCGGATTACATCCTCGGGAAGAGGACAAATTTTCTGCATAAAAAAACATGTATGAGACAACAGCGTAATAAAGCAAACATAAAACCCACTTTCAGCCAGGACAAAAACTGTGCAAATGTATAATCGGGAACGGCTCTATCTAAGACAAAATCCGGATTGACCAGTCGCACCAGGTGCACAAAATCTGGAGAGGGTGTAATGGAAGTGATATTTTGAATCCAATATGTTGCGATGTGCCTATAAATCACATTATCAAGCACTGATCATTCACTTTGTATGATTCTGTGTGTATACATACCACCGGAACCAGAGATCAGCACGGTTTTGATGTGGATCATCATGTGTATATGCAAGCGCCTTGAGAATTGAGCGAGCCAATTTCATGCGGTGTTGTGGGAAACCAATATAGAAAACTGATGACCGTTGGTGGCTGTTCAAGAAATCACGAAATGAGGCATGGTGCGCTTGTACCTGACCAAAGTCGGCAGAAATTTTGAGGACAGAGTGGAGGGGACGAAGAATTAACTGAGCATCCCCAGGGTCAAGATCAAGCAGTTCGTCAATCGACTTTACAGGCAGCCCCGGATAATCGATGATAGCAGATAGGATGTCACGAAGACTGAGATGGAATTGGGCAGGAACTCCTGATAGGATTTTGAGGTACAGCTGATCAAGATCCTTGAATGGTGATTCAGTATCATGGGGTCCAAGATTTCGAATTATGTCTAGTTGCTTTGACGGTCGCAAACACTCGTCATCAATGAACTTGATAACTGTAGATGCATAGATAAAGTAACCAGATGACTTTTGCACGATCGTTTCAAGAATCTGTGACGATGGCCACGGAGTAGGAATGTGTCGCATAGTGGTGGAATGCTCGCGATGAATGCGCGAAAATTCATCTCGGAGGTAAGTCCGGATATCTTCAAATGACTGTTCAATATTTATGGAACCAAACAGTCCTCGAAAGGAATCCTCCTCGAATTTTTCTCGAATATGTGGTTCTGGTCTGCTGGCAACAAGGATCCGAAGTTGAATGCAATGGTCTTTGGCAGTGGATCCTATTAGATTCAATATTTGTTTCTGGATATTGTGCCCTTCGCACTCGTCCAAACCGTCAACAAGAAGAACTGAGGGCCTGGCATCCGGGAGCAATCTGCAGGGTTCAAGGATCAGGGTGCGCAATTGAACATCCATGCCTCTCCCGAGAACCGATGGGTCTGTTTCTACACTCCGTGAGATTGGGCCCTTCAATTCCCGCCGATTGAGTGCGAGCTGGTAAGCGAGCGTCGCGAAGAGCATTTTCGCATTTCCACAAGTCTTATGATCCCCCTTGAAGAAGAAGCTTCCGCCGAGCCGCCCAGCATCCTGCAATCGCTGACACAGAGTCTGCATGACAGCTGATTTCCCAGCCCCGGCAGGACCGTGTAGCCACAGGATGGAGTATTCTGAGTCTGGGTCATTCGCCCAGTGATAAAGGTCATTGAGCAGTTCTGTGCGTGTTTCGGGATGGCATTTGGGCTGAGGAAACCTGTCTGCAGAGTCATACAGTGCTTCCAAGGTGACGGCACGGTGGAGAATATGTATCCCTGCTTCCCCGTGGCTTTCTGCGGTGATGGATGTTCTGTTATGGATGGATCACAATACGAAGGCAACGTCTTACCAATATTTGTAGTGAAGTTTACAGTGGGTCCATTCCCAGCACCGCCACCGCCACCCTGTATGCCACCCCCTCCACCATGGCCTCCTCTGCCGCCTGGCGGAATAAATAATCGTGTTGGTGTTCTAATAATCTGCCTCATACCATAGATATTAACTGTCTGGGATTCGCTGCCTGGATGAGGCATGTCCAGCACCTAGAGTTTGATCTTTTGTAGTGGGGCCGCGTAGTGGACTTGGAGGTGGAAGACAAGACTGAGGGCTGTGCGCGCTTGGTGCAGGCAGAAGCCAGCATGCACTTTCGCACGAATCACATAAAAGGCCGGCGAAGTTTGTCTGCCGAATATTTGACAGATGGTGTTAATCTGCGCGCACGTTTGTCCACAATTTGTCCATATGGGCAACTCGGCGGTGCAGAGCATCTGCATCAGGGAAACACCACCCGCCTATATTGCACTACCGCTGTAGAGGGGTAGGCCCAAAGGCATGTACCCTCTATGATAGAGGTGTTGGAAATCGGCCCGATGCACAGTGACCCTCTGCAAAACCGCAGAGGTCTCGATAAAATAACAATGGTACTTACATAGAACGAACAGCTATTCAACACAGAAGGGGATAGGTATGAAAAGGAATAAGCAGTGCACAGGAAACAGCAGGTGCATGATGGATGAGTCGGGGTGAGTAAGAGCTTTAGATAAAGCTGTAGAAAGGTGTATGCTGTCGCAGAAGTGTGACTCCACATCAGCACTCATACAGCTGTTCGGCGGTGCGTGGGTGTTTCGATTGCCATTCCAACAAGAGGGTACATGCTCTATCAGAGATCACTGTAGATCCCTAGATCCGTAGATCGGTAGAGCCATAGAGCACCATAGAGCACCTTAGAGCGATGTAGAGCACGTGTTTCTATGGTAGAGCACCCATAGAAACGCA